TTCCATCCTTCCACTCAAAGACCTTAACGCTCACCATGAGCGGCTTCAGGCGGGGAAAATCATCCGTCACCAACGGTGGCGTCATAGACGCAAATGATGCAGACATCTTCTGCTGCAGTAGCAGCGCGTTTTCGTTACTTGAAAATGCCTCTAGACGCGCACCGAATGTCTCGGAATTATGCGCTACAAGGAGTTGCACGCCCTCAGGGCCAAGCAAGGAGATAAGCTTGTTAAGCCCGTCCTGCATGCTCTGGGTCTCACAGAGGATCATTCTAAACGACTCAGGTGTAGATTGATTGCAAGTGCTACCAAGTGCGGCGGGGCTGCCGTAGTTTAGCGCTTAAGAAAGCGTAATTTAGGTCAGTTGGAACAAGTACGAGTTAGCGGATCGCAATGCGCTTGTAATTGACTCTTCGGTTAAAAATCCAAAACTGATTTCTATTTTTTCTAATTTTAAATGATAAGATTTTTCTAAATATCCTGAATATATATAATAAATAAAATACATGCATAACTACGTTTTCTTGTTTTCGCCATGCACATCTCGTGTGACACACACACCTGTCACCAGGATAAGTGTAACCCCGTTACATATAATCTGCTTTGAGATGATTTCCATCCATGTACTACCTGTGTGGTATCATCCACTTGTCGCATTTAAGTGAATATTATTCTTGAGAATTTCGTCAATTCCGAGCTTTAGTGTTATCAGATCTAGCACGAATGAGATTGCCGCTGTGCTTCGAGGCCACCCTAGGCGGCATTTGCCTCAATGATAAGCCTTTCTTTTTGAAAGGTGCGAGTTTTTTTGGTATGGAAAGTGATATCTGCGTACCCCACGGGCTCTGGGGTGGCCCTGATTCCACGACTTTAGCAATGGTGGCGCAATTGCTTCGCGCAAACAACTTTAACCTTGTTCGCATACCGTTAGCAGTGGCTGCAGTGACGAACAATATTGAAGTTGATCGTTACAAGATGGGCAATGAGACAAAATTGCTCGAGACTTTTCAAGAGCGTGAACTGCTCTACTTGGATGTGCTGGATTATGTGGTGAACGAGCTTGAGCATCATAATTTATTGGTATTGCTGGACGCCCACGTTATGCAGCCTGCTGGATCAATCCCACCATTGTGGTACGACGATGAACAGGATTGCACTCAAGATATAGTAGAACAGATGTGGAGAACGCTAGCTTTGAGGTATAAGAACAAATGGAATGTGATTGGCGCTGATCTGAACAATGAGCCACACGGAGAAGCGACATGGGGCTCAGGAAATGTCAAGACAGATTGGAGACTCGCTGCGACGAGATTAGCTGACCAGGTGTTGACTTTGTGTCCTCGCTGGCTTATCTTTGTGGAAGGGGTGCAGACGACAAAGTATAATCCAGGACACGATGTTCCTTGCTTTTGGGGTGAAAATCTACAAGCAGCTGGCCAATTGCCGGTTGAGCTGTGCGTAGACAATCGTCTTGTGTATAGTCCACATACTTATGGACCTGCAGTTGCGAATCAACCGTATTTTAATGCAGAAGACTTTCCACACAATATGCCTTGCGTCTGGGATTCTCACTTTGGATATTTAAAAAGAGAAGCTAGGGTACCGCTGGTGATTGGCGAATGGGGTGGTCGTTTTGATAATCGAAAAGACTGGAGCTGGCAAAAGCGGTTTGCTGAGTATGTTCAACATAATCGTATTGATGGAGTTATTTTCTGGTGCGTTAACCCGAATGGCGGTGACACAGACGGTTTACTGTGCGCTGATTGGCGCACACCGAATGATAAAGCGTTTCAGGTATTATCGCGCTTTACGGGGACGCCTGTGCCTCCATCATGCTGAGTGCTGAAGCCGAACCCAGAAATAATTTCTTAATTGTATACCGTGTGTCACGGGATCAACTAAAGCAGGTGTTAAATAAACCTTTCTATTTGTGATTGGGACTCATTCCCCGACATCCATTTATACCAAGTTTAAAAACTTATCAAACCATGGCTGCTGCTCAACTTCGTTGAGATAAAACTGTTGCACTCTATGGCTCAAATCCAAGAGGTCATTGTAACAAAATTGTAAAGTGTACGCACACCATAATTTGGTTCTCTGGAATCAGCTAGACATGCCTCAGGGGCTCTTGAATACACCGGCAATGTAATGAATCGACTCAAAGGCTTATATACAATATGTTTTTTTTAAAGTGTAAAGCTAGAATCTGTCGTTTTGACGGAATGAAAATAATAGATTCTAAGCAAATATACGTGTGTGTGTGGGCGGCGGGTCGGGTAGCTTTGGATCTCTTTCTATATTAAACCATTAGAGCAAAGATACGTTGTCATGTTTGAGCCTCTCCGAAGCTCCACCTTTTCCACCAACACGCGTGCTGTCTGCATCGGCAGCGGCCGCTTCATGGTACGCTTTATTTGATTCATTACGTATTGCATGTCAATCACACTTTGATTGGTTCTTCGTTTAGCGGGCCGTACTAGTTCCAATCTTTCGATCTCTTGATTCAAGTGTCATTGTGGCTCAGACCCGTGGCACGAGCTTTGCATCAGCTTGTGCCGCTGCAGAGGGCAAGTACGAGGTAGATACTATAAAACCAGACGGTCAAAAGGATACGACTGTTATCGAGCTGGAAGGTATATACGCTACAGTCAATTGAGTTGAGCTGATATTGAGCAATCTTTTATGTATCTTAACACAGCGGTGGGCTCACTGGGTGTTCCCGAGGGCCGTGCGGCGTTTCTAAAGCTCCCGAACAAACTCCCACAGCTTAAATATATCGGTTTTGGCGTCACTGAAGCGGGTCTGCAGTCCGGTTCTCAGGCAATTCAAGATCTTGCTGCGTTTTTGCAAGCTGCATCGATTAGTATTCAAGGTACAAAGGTTTAGATACTTATCGATCAACCTTCTCATTTGTCGCTACTTTTCTAGACAATGACATCTCGATCATCAATTCGGACAATTTTCCAAACAATGGTGACCATATCAAGAAACTCGTTTTAGAGCTAGATTGGGTCCAGAGGGATGAGTCTGCTGATTTTCGTCAGTTTCTAGACAACAATATACATTTTCACAATACGATGGTTGATCGCATCACCAACCATCGGACTGGAGACCCGCTTGTGCCTCTCACTGAGCCATTGCCGGCCAAAGTTCTTGCAATTGAGGATTTACATGGCGTTCTGGATGTCAACAGTCTTGGTCAAGTCCCTGGTGTTCACGTGCGTACAAGCAAATCGGACATAGCAAAGGATTATTTGCTTAAGTTTTCGCTTGGCAACGCTATCAATTCAGCCATGGTACATCTATTAGCCCTTTCTCGTCAACGTACAGCTAATCAATTTCAACGCTTTCCGATTGTCAGCGAGTATCTCGATGCTTTGTTTGAAAAAGATCTTTTGCCAGCATTACTAGCTGGTCATGTGGCCGAGCAAGAGGCTCGAAATTTCTACGCTGAGTGGCTTGTGCGTATGAAACACCCCCAACTTGGACTTGACAACTTCTGGGTCTCACAGAATGCACTTTTGCGACTTTACGTGCGTTTATTGAATTCGGTCAATGTCAACGTCGCTCACAACAACAAATACCGTCCAAGTAATGTTATGGCATTTGCAACAGCAATTACATTGCGCTATCTCACACCGTCGCAAATTGACTCGAAACGTACGGCGTCAACAATTTTTGTGGGTCAAATGGATCCCGTACAAAACATCGCACCGAGTTTTTCACTATCAGAAAGAAATTATTACTACGATACTGGACTCACAGCAAACTTATCTACAGGTAAATATGAATTTGATGATGGTGAGAATGGACGAGTTGCTCGCTTGCTTTGGCATGCGAGTCACCATGTGTTGGAAGCTACTAAGAGCCGCAACGACGATCCACGGATTTCGCTCGAAGTGTCGAGTGGTGTCGGTGTAGCTATTGCCAGTGTACTTGGGTCTGTTAAAGGCTTTGACCTTACAAATGACGTGTATGCTTCGTTCGCTGCTGATGTTGCTTCTCTGTATCAGCGTCTTATCTCTGGTAAACAAACAGCTCTGGAAACATTGGAGGACGTCCTACGCAACGACAACATAAGTGAATATCTTAGTTCGAAGGAAGAAGTGGCGAATTTTGTACGTGAAGCAGTGGCAAGCGTCCAAATTATTGATGTACACACGCATTTGTTCCCTCCAAGTCATGGCAAACTCATGCTTTGGGGCATCAACGAATTGCTTACGTACCATTACCTTGTGGCCGAGTTTCTGCAGACATCCCAGTTGCAAGTAGAAGAGCTTAATTTGTATTCGAAGGAAGAACAGGCCACAATGATCTGGCAGCATTTGTTTGTTGATCGCTCGCCCGTGTCTGAAGCGTGTCGTGGTGTATTGACGACGCTACACTTATTGGGTCTCGACAATCTTGTGGCCAAGCGCGATATTGTAGCCATTCAAAAATGGTTTCAGCTGCAGGACCCTGAAGAATACGTCGACACGGTCTTTCGTCTCTCGGGACTTAAGTACGCAGTGATGACCAACATCCCTTTTGAACCAGAAGAAGCTCGTCACTGGCTCGGTGATCCGGCTACGAACACTCCACCTCCTTCTTGGTCACGAAAATACTTTCGATCAGCTTTGCGTGTGGACCAAATTTTGCTGGGTGACTGGGCGTCTATCGGTCTGACGCTAGATGTGTTCAAGTTACCGCATACTCTAGAAGGGGTGCGTAATTTACTGGAGAAATGGATTGAGATTATGACTCCAGAGTACTTCATGGCAA